GGGGGGGGGGGGGGGGGGGGGGGGGGGCTGGAAAGCCCACCAGCTGCCTGGTCCCTTTGGAAAAAATGTTAACTCGCATCGCGGGTCGTTCCCAAAGGATAATCTTCCTGGTGGGCGGGCTCCGGCCGCCGCTTCCCCGCCCTCTTTCTCCTGTGCGGGCAAGGTTAGGGTAGGTCTGCGAATTTCCTTCGACGTCTTGCAAAATAAATAAATAAATAAGTAAGTAAGTAAGTAAGTAAGTAAGTAAGTAAGTAAGTAAGTAAGTAAATAAATAAATAAATAAATAAATAAATAAATAAATAAATAAATAGACAGACAGACAGACAGACAGACAGACAAATGAACTCGCGCGGCTCCTTTAACCCCGCCCAGTTCCGACTAGGCAAGGAGAGCCGTGCCGGCGCCCTTTGTGAATGGAGGGGGCGGAGCCACGCCAAGCCAGGGTATAAAAAGAGCCGCGGGCCGAGGCGCCTCCAGTTGCCAGCGGCTGAGGCTCGGCGCGTAGAGCTGCGCTCCTGAAGGTAGTCAGTGGGTGGGGGGAAGCTCGAAGCGAAGCGCACATTCGCCGCAGCCATGCGTGAGATCGTGCATATCCAAGCCGGCCAATGCGGGAACCAGATCGGAGCCAAGGTATCGTTTGGCCAGGGGGCGAACTTCCATTGTTGTCGGCTTGCGTTCTCCAATTTGACGGTCTCCAAAATAAGATGGTTTATAGAGCCCCCGCTATAGCCCTCGTGAGCTGAGGCTAATGGGAACTGTAGTCCCAAGGCTTCTGGAGAGAAATAGGTCGGGGGTCGCCTTGTCAATTCTGGGTGCGGGAACCAGTAGTGCGACTTCTGTCCCTTTTTCGGAAAAGAGGCCGGTGGGTGGGAGGGGAGGCGGCGGTTGCCGCGCTTGTAATAAATTCGACCGAGTGCCACCTTTAATGCGGAGGAAGAGAGAAAAGAATTTACTCTGAAAAACAAGCTAAACCAGTGGAGGGTTCTGCCATGCTCGCCTCCCTCCCTCCCTCCCTGCATCTTCTCAGTAGAAGTGGGTCTGTTGGGGAGACAAAGAGGCCCCCCCCTTTCCCTCCACGCCGGAAAAAGAAGCGACCCTTTTTATTAGTACAATGCTTTTTTTTTAAGTCCCTGGTTCTAGTAACGAGGTGAGTTTGCTGGGAACCTGGTTCAGTTTTAATAACAGCCTTTGATTGCCTCGCCCATTTTCAGAGGATGAAACCTGGATAAGAGGCGGCCTGCCACAAAGGGTGTGGGGTTGATATTAGCAGATTCTCTCCTCCATGAAGGAAGCCGACAAGACAAGCCAAACCACCCAAGTATATATAGCCTTAAATTTCTTGGTCGGGGCTAATGATGCATTGCCACAGCTGTACTGCTGCAAATACCTGTTGTAACAGCCCCTTTTAGTAAGGTTAGAGCTCCGCTTAGACATGACCAAGCGAACCCCAGCGGGAGAGGTGGGCATGGCTGCAGAATGCGGCTAAGGTGTGGCTGCAGCACATGCCGGTGCAGCCTTGGTGTTTTAAAGGAAGTGGCTAATAACACTCAAAAATCCCATTTCCAGTTCTGGGAGGTCATCAGCGATGAGCATGGCATTGACCCCACCGGCAGCTACCACGGAGACAGCGACCTGCAGCTGGAGAGGATCAATGTCTACTACAATGAAGCAGCTGGTAACCCCTTCAGTCTCTTGCTGTTTTTGAAATGTTTGGAGGGGTTTTTTTTGTAAATGTCTTGTAAGGCAGTAGAAATCGAGCAAAACAAACCTACATGAGGGGGCTCCAGGGCAGAAAAGTCACCTTATCTGAATTGTGTACCTTGGTAAGAAAGAAACGCAGAATTTTGATTCTGCTTCTGATTGTATTGGGGGAAATAAGGATATTTTAAAACCACCCCACCACCACCACCTCCTCCAGGTTAAAACTGAGGAAATAAAAGAGTTATCTTGTCAACTACAGAAGGGAGAGCCAAATCTATGTTGGGCATTGATGGGCAAAAAGTGCCTTTGACTTCCTGCTTTTAAAAGCTTTAATATCCTATTCCTTCCAACCCTTCAACATGTCTGTCAATCCTTCCCTGCTTGTCTCTACATCTGTCATAGATATTGGTGCAGAAGATGAGAATGGGCAGTCTGGATTAACACTCGTCCTCTGACGAGCCATAGGATTGTAGTTTACTAGCAATCAAATGTTCATCCAATTGGGAAATGTTAGTCATAAAAGACAATTTTGGATTTCCATAACTGAAGGCAAATAAAAGAAGCTCATAGGGGTCTACTCACCTGCCATGAATGACCTAGACATCCCCTTCCCCAGGAATAGATTCAGCTTTGCAGGCCAACAGGACACAGTGTCTGAAACTGTCACTTGGTAATCATTTTTTTAATTCTCCAGAGGCGAAGGATGCTGCTTCCCAGTTCTTTTTGATTTTTTTCTCCAAAGCAAATGGCAGTGTTGTTGTCATGCTTAACCCAAGAACAACATAGAACAATCCAGCTAGAGTTCACTTCTTTATTTGCTTGCACACAATAAACATAATCTTGCCAGACTAAATGTATGTTGTTCTCATTCTAATGGATATACCCATTAGGGAGATTTTTAGGGAGTGGCTGTCTCACTCTCTGTCTCCTATCCAGCTCCAGGCTGTGCTGCCTCTTGTCTCTTCCCCCTCCACCATTTTGGAATGTGCTCCCTCCTTCCTGGGAAATTGCTGCTTCACTGTAGTTCACCACACTACCTCCCACTCCTTAGGAACCATCCCTCATGTCTGCCATTGTGGGCTGGCTCAGGCAGCCCCTCCCCTCACCGTCTTTTTGTGCTTTTTGCCATTCCTCCTCTTGTGTGGCTAGTGAAAACAACCAAGACAGGCAGTCGAGAATCTCTAGAAGGTTCTAATATTGCCGTGCCTCTCTCTGGAAATAAGAATAAACTTACTCCTTTATAAGTCATTGGCATGACATGAGAGATTTAGTTTAGACTCTTTAGGGCCATATTTAATTTTCTCTGGCTTAGTTAAGACTTAATTTTAAGCCTTAATTTTATATAGAGTGGTAAATCACTGTGGAATTTTGGTGAGGTTATGACCATCTTTTTTTAACAAGATTTCAGGATAGCCTCGAGGCAGGTGGTATATCATGCATGTTCTGTTTTATGTAGCTAAATGGTAATAAGCTCCAGAGTATTTTAAAATTAAAAATTTGGCTTTAGGATAGCCAAAATTCCAGACATCAGGAGCATCAGATTGGGCAACGTTGTTTTTTCTTGTTGCTCCCTTCTAGTCATTGTTAATTCCTAGCAATTGTCTGGACAAGTGCCTGCAGTTTTCTTGGCAAGATTTGAAAGTGGTTAGCCATTGCCTTCTTCCAAGCGCTGAGAAAGAGTAACTGGCCCAAGGTTACTCAGCTGGCTTTGTGCCTAAGACAGAACCAGTCTTCTAGTTTTTAGCCTACTTCTTAATCACTACACCAAACTGAGTTTCAAAGTTGACTTAGTGGTTTTAATAATCATAGCTATATCATGAGGATCCTGGAAATTATGTGATCAACATTAAGTTAGAGATTCTAAAAGATTCTTGGTAGCTTCATAAAAATATAGTTGTATGGAACGTTGCATTTCTGCAGGCATCCAGGGGAAAAAGGTGAATATAATTATTTGACTGGATTATGGTCAGAGGCCACACAGCTAGTCCTTGACCTATGACCACAATTAAGCCCAAAATTTGTGTTCCTAAGTGAGACATTTGTTAAGTCAGCTTTGCCCCATCGTATGACCTTTCTCGTCACAAGTGAATCGCTGCAGTTATCAGTCACACGGTTGTTAAGTGAATCTGGCTTCCCCATTGGCTTGGCTTGTCAGAAGGCCACAAAAGGAGGTCACATGACCCCGGGACACTGCGACTGTTATAAATATGAGTCAGTTGCCAAGTGTCTGAATTTTGATCACGTGATCATGGGGATGCTGCAACGGTCTTAAGTGTGAAAAACGATCATAAGTTCCTTTTTTTAATGCCATTGTAACTTTGGACGGTCACTAAGCAAACTGTGTGATGACCCAGGGCACAGCACAGAGGCAATACAGTCATCTGGCAGTTCAAACTGCCCTTTATTTGCTCCAATTTTCCCCAAATGCTCCCATGTTTCTGGCAAGCCGCAGAACAAAGTAAGACACACACACACACCTTCAGCAGCCTCTGGCTGCAAGTAGTTTTGCAAGTTTTTAACTCTTGATGCAGGGAAAATGTGTGTATGGAACAAGCTGTCCTCCTTCAGGTTTCGACTCACACACAGAATAGTAATTCACTTAAGGCCACGTAGATAACAAGGAAAGAAACATACATTCCAAAATCTAATTGAGTCTGTGGAAATACAAGCTTGCCTGAGCAGTTTCAGAAGAGAAGCCAAAATTCAATCCGAGGTCTTTGAACACCAAATCAAGTTTGTCAGCCAGTCCAATGGTCAGCGTTTCAGGGTTTCCAAGCAGAAATCACAACACAGAACAAGAGATCAGAGAGTTGTTTCCGAGATCAGCAAAAATTCAGCATTTGTTCCCCTCCCCACAGTGTCTCAGTCTTCGGGTATGCCTTGTGGAGAGGGGCAGGAAGCTCCTCTCCACAATGCACACATGTAGTTGAGCCTGCCTGTGTTGTTCCCTCCTTCTCTGTACTCTCCGTGCTCTAGGATCAGGAGGGGATGGCCCTTGCTCATCACCTGAGCTCTCTCTCTTATGTTCATCCTGTACCAATCCTGAAAGGCCCTGGCCTGCCTCAGGCTGCTCTTCCTCACATTCCTCTGAAACCACAGACACCCCTCCCTTGACCTCCATCAGCTCCGTTTCCAGCTCATTTTCCTCAATAGATTCAGGCTCCGATGGGAGCATGACAAACTGTTGTAAGTTGAGGACTACCTGTATTTCAGCAGTGTACAGCACATGGTTAGCATGAGAATTTTCCTTCACACTTCTTTTTGTGATGTTGAGGTAATAGGGACAAAGAATGCTGTTTGAATTTCTGAAGAGCTGCAGCTGGTTAGCCAGTATGAACCTGTCATAACAAGACTGCCTGAACTAAGAAGAAGCAGCTTCCTTATGTATTGTAAGAGCCACCAGCTGGAGAAATTATGATAGAATGGGTTCATCCATTAAGCTATGAGCTACCAGTCAAACCATATGAATAGATCTATCTAGATCAAATTTAAATAGGACCCAGTTATCTTGAGCACTCTATAAAGCAGTACATTGTGTCTGGTACAGGCCATTAGACGTGGCATATGAGAACTTGGGACAAAAGAAATGCTCTTTCACGTCAAGATGACAAGCTCATAGGGAAAATTATAAGCAAGAATGTTAACCTTCAGTGCCTTCTGCACATCAGAAATTTCATGAAGGAGGATTTAATCACTATGTGTTTCGGTTCTTGTATGTGAAACTTGGATCTGGCGATTCTGTACTTCAAACTGTCGCACTTCTGCAAGCTTTTGAGATTTCACTATTGTGAGTAAGCAGCTCTTTTGAACCCACTTCTCCTCCTTTCCCAGTCAAGTAGGAGTTTTTTCCCCCTCCCTTTTGCAGCAGAGATGGTGAAGGTGAAAAGTTCTCCCATTTCAAGCACTTTGTAGATGCAGTTTTGTTTCTGCGCAGGTATACTGTAGATATCCATCTGAGACAAAGAGGCCATAATACGATGCAAGCTGGTGCAAGAAACTTAAGAGAATATTAATCATGGCTGATGTGTTTCAGACTATTTGTTGTACTTTCAGAGTGAGATTTAAAAACTCTTGTTCCACAAAGGATTACTTAATGCCACCCTTTAAAATGTTGAAGTTGCCAAGGGTACTGTAGTCAGGAGGTATTTTATAAGGCTATTAGGTAAGGCTAGCTTTTGTTCTTTCCATAGGAAATAAGTATGTTCCCCGCGCAATCCTCGTTGACCTGGAGCCGGGCACAATGGACTCAGTCAGGTCTGGACCTTTCGGCCAGATCTTTAGACCTGATAACTTTGTCTTTGGTAAGTAATACTAATTATATTTTTCTATGATTATATCTTAAATAGCTGCAGTATAATTCCTACTATTCAATTTGTTCTAAGTCAAAGTAGGCACTATGTGTCCTTCGGTGTTGCAAAATTAAAATTTCAAGCAGTCCTCATCAGTGGCCCCAGCTGCTAGGAACTATAGATCAGCAACACCGGGAGGCTTACCCTTCCTCTACATCAGGCATGTCAAACTGCCTGCCCGCAGGCCGGATGCGTCATGCCGAAACCACACCCACCCATTGCCAGCAATGGGGAAAAAGTCGCGATACGTCACAAGTTTGACATGCCTGCTCTACATACATCTTATAGATTTAATGAAATATATAAAAATGTACTGTGTGTAAGATCCATTGATCCATTCAGCCTCTATATGACCGTAATTGAAATGAGCATCACTGCCTAGATAACAAAAAGATGGTCTAACTACAGGCTGATCTAATTTATATGATCTCCCCATCTGCTATCTGATTGGAGAATCTCCCTGCTCCATCTCTTATCTCTTATCTTCAAATTATGGAATGGGAGAGGCCTCCAAAATGTTGTCTCTTGAATATTCTCCAGTCTTTTCTCCTAGACTGAATGCAGTCATTTCTCATCTCTCCATGCTATAGATGTAGACAGTGCTTTTTTTCTAAAAAAAAAAAAAAAAAAAAAAGGTGCCGGAAGTCACACATGTCATACAACCCGCCTTGCCTACCCTACAAGGTTCCATCCAAAAAAGGTGCCGGAACTCCGTTCTGGGCGTTCTATGAGAAAAAAAGCCCTGGATGTAGGGACAAATAATTTGACTGTTACTGGGCCAGATGACAAATTTAGCTTGGATTGAATTTGGTCCATAGATCAAGTATGAATATTATTTTAGCATTCCTGGCATGTAAATGGTTTTGTAAGCATCTCTTTTCTTTCTAATTATTCCTTTAGGCCAGAGTGGTGCTGGGAACAACTGGGCCAAAGGCCACTACACAGAGGGAGCTGAGCTAGTGGATTCGGTGCTGGATGTAGTAAGGAAGGAGTCTGAAAGCTGTGATTGCTTACAGGGCTTCCAACTCACCCACTCGTTGGGTGGGGGCACTGGATCTGGCATGGGAACGCTTCTCATCAGCAAGATTAGGGAGGAATATCCTGATAGGATCATGAACACCTTCAGTGTAATGCCATCTCCAAAAGTGTCAGACACAGTGGTGGAGCCATACAATGCCACCCTCTCTGTCCACCAGTTGGTAGAGAACACAGATGAAACCTACTCTATTGACAATGAGGCTCTGTATGACATCTGCTTCCGCACACTGAAACTCACAACTCCAACCTACGGCGATCTCAACCACTTGGTATCTGCCACCATGAGCGGAGTGACCACCTGCCTCCGATTCCCTGGCCAACTGAACGCAGACCTTCGCAAGCTGGCAGTCAACATGGTGCCTTTCCCTCGCCTGCACTTCTTCATGCCCGGCTTTGCTCCCTTGACGAGTCGTGGCAGCCAACAATATCGTGCCCTGACGGTCCCGGAGCTGACTCAACAGATGTTTGATTCCAAAAACATGATGGCGGCCTGTGACCCCCGCCACGGCCGGTACCTGACGGTGGCAGCCATCTTCCGGGGCAGAATGTCCATGAAGGAGGTGGATGAGCAGATGCTGAATGTCCAGAACAAGAACAGCAGCTACTTTGTGGAATGGATCCCCAACAACGTGAAGACGGCCGTGTGTGACATTCCTCCCCGAGGCCTGAAGATGTCTGCCACTTTCATCGGCAACAGCACCGCAATCCAGGAGCTCTTCAAGAGAATCTCTGAGCAGTTCACAGCCATGTTCCGGCGGAAGGCTTTCTTGCACTGGTACACCGGCGAAGGCATGGATGAGATGGAGTTCACGGAAGCCGAAAGCAACATGAATGACCTGGTCTCCGAGTACCAGCAGTATCAAGATGCCACTGCAGATGAGCAAGGGGAGTTTGAGGAGGAAGGAGAGGAGGACGAGGCTTAGAGGTTTTGAGTAGGGTTAGTCCATAGGCAAGTGTCCAAGGTGAGAGCTGTTCAGCTGTACCAGTGCATGCTTTTCCAGTTATTCTTGATGCTTTTCACTGTTGCCTCTGTCAGCAGTTTTTGTGACCCTGCTCTATTACTTTAATATTTATAAACTGGCAAGATGATTTAATTAGGGAGATACAAATCCTATTAAGATTGAGTGCTATGAAGTTGAAGTCTTCACAACAGTGCTGGTAGTAGGACCAGCTCTACACTATATATTAAAATCTGAAGAATAACTTGCTTCCACATTTATGCAACTATAAATTCTGCACCTCCAATTGGTATTTAATATAATTCTCAAGGGAAATTACTGCAGGGATTAAAGTTTTATTAAAGAGAGATGTCAATACTTTATCTAAACTAAGAAAGAGATTTACTGAGTGCTTTAAAAACAAAGCTTCTCTAGATTGGTATTTTTTAGATGTGTTGTAATGTGCAATTCCCAGATTCTCTTAGACAGCACAGATTTTCTTTCTTTCTTGGGAACAGTAGGAGCTACAGGTACCAGTACTTCTGGAGGGGGCTACATTGGAGAAGACTTGCATACCCCTCGTTATTGACCATTGTTCTTGACTCCAATGGAAAGGCAGTAATCAAGAAATGGAATAGTAATAATAGATTTCTCTACCAATTAGAATAAGCAGTCTACCCCATGAAATATTTTTGCACATGCTAAAGAATATTCTACAGAATTGCAGAGGCAGTAGGTAAACTTATTTTGATCAATTTTTCCTCACCTTGTGCTCTCCCAAGAATGCACACCAGATAGAAGTATTTACAATTGCAGTTAGAATTCTGTGTGTAACTTATAACATTTTAATTGTGATTTAAACTGATCACTTCCAACTTTTGGGATTGGGCTCTTCAAAAGATGCAGATATTGCAACAACTGGATATTAAAACTATTTTTTGTAATACAGGAAAGGATTGTTAGCATTGGCTTGTAAAGTTAGGAGCTTATTCCCTCTCACTTTAAGAACTAAGATGGTATTTTTTAATATTCCGAATCACTGTATGTTCAAAATCACATCTGTAGTCTTTTTCTTAAAAAAAAGAAAAGAAAGAATAACCCTTAAGATTTGGGCACAATTGCAACTAGAATGCTAGTAGAGCAGGCATGAATTCAGACAGCTGGGATTGAGCATGTTTTCTGTGGCGCTGTCTTATGTTGGCTTTCTTTTGTGCATTGTGTAAACTCTTCAAGAATGTCTGCAGTAAAATTCTGCAATGGCTTTTGTGTGGTGTTCAGTGTTGAGGACTCTGTATCAAGGCATGCATTTTGAATAATGACTTCTGTTTGTGCTTTTCTTTAAGGTGAATCTGGGCAATAAAGTATTTATTGAAACTTATGCGGCTCCCTTAACTTTACAAAGCTTTTGAGAAAATATTCCCACTTCTAGCAGTTTTTAATCCTTTTCCATGTCCCAGAATTATTGGCATATATCAGTTTTGCTACCATTTGGAGAAAATACATTCCTTTGTCGCATTCTTTCCCTTAAGAATACAATTCACTGTTGCCAGTTTCAGCTGAAGTTTACCAATCTCTCAGGAACAGCATAGAAGTAGGTGCTTTACACAAGAAATTCTTCTACCATTTTCTTAAACTCTTCTGCAAACCTTAGGTGTAAATTATGTTTTCCTTCAGGCATAAAATGCAACCTGTAATGACAAAGGTTGAATAGGTTAAGTATGCTAAGGAACTGGTACCAGCTGACCTTAACTTGCTGTTTTCCAAATGATATCAAAATTACAAATGGCAACGCATACAGCCAGTGGAAATCCTGCTTTGTCATCTAGGTGCTGGGGTTTTAACATACCAAGGGAACACCGAATTGGTAAAGATTAATGTACACACTTGTATAGAGATGGAGAAACAGGCTGATGCAACAGAAACAAATTGGTGGAGGAATGGAAACATATGATCTGAAGCCAAAACAGCCATATTTATAATTATATTCTGGGCTAAGACCAGGGTATTTCTTTAGGCCTCTGTAAGTACAGATACTGCAATAGAAGCTATTTGTTTTGTTGAAGGACCTAAATGAGATTATTGTTGATTTTTAATTCCTTCTAAAGGAAACACTGAATGAACAAATGTCACTTTCCCTTTGGTTATGCTGGCTGTGGGCATAATGGAGGTTGAAGTCTAAAGCATCCACAAGCAACAGATTGGGGATCAATAGGGGCCTGGTTTGGTTCTACAAAAGTTTTCCTTAGAAATATATCTGTGTTCAGTGAAAGGAGGCTATAGCTTGGCCTTACCACTATCAAATACCACATTCTGCTTCTTAAGAAGCAATCCTTGAGTTTTCTTCCTGCAGTTACCTGTCTCAGACCATAAACTCCAACCTTTTGACTAAGTGGGCCTTAAAAGGATTCACAATGAATGAGCTGGTCCTGGCAATAAGTATGTTGCCTGAATGAGGGGGTGGTACTGGAGGAAACCCAGCTAACATTTCATTTTGCTGTTAATTCCAAATTTATTTTTATCATGCTCTTATTATTTTTATAAATAACTCAAAACAGTGAATATACCTAATACTCCTTCCTCCTCTTATTTTACCCACAACAATCACCATTAAGGCGAGTTGGGCTGAGAGAGAATGGCTGGCCCAGAGTCACCCAGTTAATTTTCTTTTTTTTCCCCCATGCCTAAAGTGGGACTAGAACTCACAGACTCCTGGTATCTAGGCTAGCACCTTAACTGCTAGACCAAACTGCCTCCCAATTTGCATTCTCAAGCCAAATAGAGATTTGTGCTTCAGGAAAAGTTAAGTGCAAGTTAATGTGCAAATCTTAATTCCTTAGCAATCTTGGAAATATTTGTGTATCTTTGCAACACTCTTAAAATTTTTACAGCACCTGAAGTCAACTATAACAAAAGCAGGAAGACATGGGAGGGGGTTAATGTTTTACAAAATGATAATATATTCATTACAGCAGGTTCTCCTCTTATCCCACCATTAAAGTATGAGACTTACCGTGAACCTTTGATATGCTTGTGGATATATTCTGCATGAAAACGGGGTACCAATGGATCTTTCTCACCATGTATAATTAGTGTTGGGCATTTAATATGAGTTAGCAGAAGCTGACAGATATCACCTGGGGAGGAACAAAATGAACTAAAACAAAATATTTTTTTATTTAAAACAAGACAAAAATGTGAAAACAGAGAATGTACTTCCTCACTGCAAAACAGCTGAATAGCAAATGATAGCAGTTGGTCAAGAACAAGCTTTTGCATTGTTTTAATCACAGCTGCAACATTTGGGGGGGGTGGGTTCTCTCCAGATTCCCTCCCAATAATGAACACTCCAGTTAATCAAATGCAGATAGTTAAATGAGAGAGCCCGTTCAGTTTAATGTAATGGCATTTTATATCAATAGGGTAATCCCATTTTTCCCCTTCTTTTTTTGCTATCTAGTTAAAACTCATAAAGCTAGGAGAGAAATGCAAGCAAAATATACTGCTGTTGATACAGATGTGACACTGCATCTTCTCCACATAATGACAAATCATGTTTATGGGTTGTCCAAAGAAACCTGGTTGATTTTCATGGAAACTGAGAGCTGGATTATTTTGCTTTTGGGGCGATTCAATGTAGCTCTTGTTTTTTTAAAAGTAACCTACATTCATCTGACAAAGTAACCAAACTCTGTGACCAGCATAAATATAAATGGCAAAAACATTAATTCCAAGTAAACTAACAGTGTATTGTGTATCTTGTTTCACTGTTTTTATATGAGAAGGGAAAATAAACAATGGTTTAATTATCATTACATGTAATCTGCACAATTAAAAATTATACTTGTAACATGGTTCAGAAAATTGCTGTATCTCTCTCATCTCTGAATATATCTAGAAAATTAAATCTTGATGCTCTTTCTTCATACATGGAACAACAATGTTCATATACATGTCCTGATCTAAGCACAGGCACAAAAAGAAACACATGCGAAATTTCATGGGTTTTTGAACAAGACAACTCTGCCATGACCATAAGGAAAAATCTGTTAGATAAAACTAAAGATTTCATCCAATCTTTGAAATCACAGATTAGCATTTTAGGCAGAACCAGCATTCTAAAGGGGTCTTGTTGGGCATATATGAACATTGGAAATTATTATTTCTTAAATTTGTTTGCCGCCCACCTTCAAAGTTACTCTATGAATCACCAAAACATTAAACAGAGGGTAGTAATGACTGCTGGGTACATTTCCCAGTCTAGATGCTAATATTATATCTTTCCCCTAATTTAACCTTTCTGTCCTTGATATGGTGAACAACAGTTAAACGCAGAAAGCACTTAAGATGACCTTGATGGAAAAATCCAACCAGGTGGTAATTAGTTTTGAACAATTATTGCTTTTAAACTACTACTGGCAATGATTGACTTAGCTTGGAGAAGCAGAAATAGGTACAGTTAATATGTACCATATTTAGAATGGTACAAACATCTCATATGCAACAAAGCAACTTCTTGTTCTCCCCTACATTTCTATCAAAAGGTTGTTGTGGGGTAGGGGTGGGGGTGTGGAGAGTTATTTTAAGATGTTTAAAAATGAAGTTTTTACCACAAACAAATAGCAAAAGTGATTGCAAACGGAGACTACATAGAGATAAAAAAGGTACAAGACAAGGATGTCCACTACCTCCATTGTTATTTTAACTTTGGAAGTTTTAAATAGAAATATTAGGCAAGATTCAGAAATTAAAGGACTAGAAATAAAAGGTGAAACAGATGACTTGGTATTCATCCTAGACAGAGGAACCTTTAGAGATGATTCCTAAATTATTGGAAAAGATAGAACAGTATGGAGAGAGAGCAGGACTGAAAATAAACAGAGAAAAAAACTAAAGTGATAGTTAAAAATCTCACAGATAAACAAAAAAAAACCCAAATGACAGAAAAATAAAACTGAATCAAATAAAATGACCTGGAAAAATGGAAAAACTTGCAATTGTCAATGTTAGGAAGAATTGCTACAGTGAAAATAAATATATTACCCAAAATATTGTTTTTATTCCAAATGATACCTATAAAACTAGAGAAATTTTTTTGAAGACTTAAATTCACTAATTTTGAAATTTATTTGGCAAAGAAAGAAAGCTAGAATCAAATTGAAAATGTTACAAGAAGCTAAGGAAAATGGAGATTTTGGCTTGCCAGAGTGGGTTTTATATTATCAAGCATCTGTACTAACATGGGTAAAAGAATGGATAACTTTTAGAAATAAAAGGTGGTTATATTTGGAGGGACATGATTTATAACTTGGTTGGCACACTTTCTTATGGTATGGGGAAAATAAAATTCATAAGTATTTTCAAAACCACTATATAAGAAACACATTATTATTAACATGGGGAAAAATAAAATGTAAAATATATTTGAAAATTCCAGGATGTTTTTCAACAATGGAAGCATTTCTACATCCAAACTTAGTTTAGAGAAAATATGGACATATAAAGATATTCTAAATTCTGAAGGGAATCTAAAATCTAAACAAGAGATGGAAAATCAGGGTATTGATCTATCATGGTGGGCATATTTACAAATGCAAGTTAGATACGATAAAGATGTCAAACTGTACGGATTTTATAAAGAGCAGACCTTGTTTGATCAGACATTATTAACCTCTGATGAGAAATTAATTAAGAAAATCTATAACTTTTTATTGAATTTGAAAATGGAAAATGAACAAGTTAAAGAAACAATGATAACATGGGCAAAGAATTTTGGATATAATATAGATTTAGAAAAATGGCAAAACTTGTGGGCAAGAAATTATAAATTGACAATGTCAACTTACAAAGAAATCTATATAAAATGTTTTATAGATGGCACTTGCAACCAGCAAGATTAGCAAAAATGTTTAAAAATATGTCAGATAGATGTTGGAAATACAAACATAAGTCAGGTACTTATTATCATGTATGGTAGACTATGTATTAAAGCAAAGAGGTATTGGACAAAAATACATACTTGGCTAGGAAAGATGTTGGGAAAACATGTAGATTTTAAACCTGAACTTTTTTTATTAGGTATAATGCCAGAAAAGATTGATAAACAAATTATATACTTGATTCTACATGTGATAACAGCAGCAAGAATCATATTCGCATAACACTGGAAAAATGAAGAAATACCACCAGAGGAAGAAATAATTAAAAAAATACTAGAATGTGCGGAAATGGACAGACTTACTTTAAGGTTGAAAGAAAAAGAAGAAACAATACTTTCAACTTGGGACTTATTTTATCAATGGCTGGGGAAAAGAATAAAGGATTAGGAATTAAATTTGTATTAGTGAATGATAAACTCAGACAACTTGAATAAGTACTACTAAATTGTATGAAAAAAATAATAAAAACTTTATAAAAAAAATATGGAGTTTTCTTTCAAACCCACATACTTCTTAGGTAAACTGAACATTGCCTCAGGTTAAGAATGAGTTAGAATAGTCACACCTGGGTGGTTCTTATGATCCAGTCTGGAATTAAGAAGCAGAAACCACTTTGAGGCTTAGATCATGAGCTTTGCAGAGTATAATTGACTCAATAAAGGAGGAGTGAAAGAGGAACATTTCAGCCAGTGGTGGGATTCAGCCAGTTTGTACCACTTCGGCAGAACTGGTAGCTAATTTTTTGTTGCCCAGGCCCAGAATGGACTTCTGGAAGCTGCATCCACACAGAGAACCGGTTGTTCACATATTTGAATCCCACCACTGATTTCAGCTACTATTTGTTGGGCTCCAAAACATTTTTGTTCCATTCAGGAAACATTATACATTAGTAATTCTTGGTAAAAAAAAATTAAATTAATCTATAAAGGAAGTTAAGATGTCAGCCTAGGCCACGGGTAGGCAATCTTGGCTCTTTTATGACTCGTGGACTTCAACTCCCAGAATTCCTGAGCCAGCCAAGCTGGCTCAGGAATTCTGGGAGTTGAAGTCCACGAGTCATAAAAGAGCCAAGGTTGCCTACCCCTGGCCTAGGAGAAAGGCTGACTTCAGAGAACTGTTTACACAGCTAAGTCCTTCTATGGAAGGCAACCATTGCTTGAAAGTTTATTCTTCATCAGTAAAAGGAAAAACCTCAGCTGTGCTGTGTGAATTTACATGGAAGGTTTGCTTGAATAATTTACTTCATTAAAAGCTGGGTTTTCTTTGTTGGAACCCTGCCCCCCCAAACCCTCCCCATCAGAATGAAGGAATTTTGAGTGCAGGAATTTTCTTTTGGAGCTCCAGAACTGTATGGGTAGTTCTTGACTTACAACTACAACAGAGCCTTAGAATTTCAGTCCTAAGTCATTGCAATCATAAAGTGAGGTCCCATGTCACCAAACTTGATTTTGTGACTGTTTTTATGATGGCTGTAAAGCGAGTCGTGGTCATCAAGTGAATCATGTGGTCGTTAAGGAAATCCAACATATCTAATGGGTGGGTTTTGTCATTGCAAATCATGGTCATATGACCACGGGATGCTGCAATCAGTCGTAAATGCAAACCAGTTGCCAAGTGCCTGAAATGCAACTATGGAGAGGTTGTGTGGCAGTCAAGTGGTAATAAGTTGAGGACTACCTACAATGAATTTATAACCTCTCCATACAAAAGTCTATTTCTGGACGTTCTTACAAACTGTTGTAAAGTCAAGGACTACCTGTTCTCTGTACCTCAATAAATACTTCACCCTTTGGCACATCAAGTTCTCCACTCAGAGAAAATGAGAACACGGGCTGATTACAAGGTGATGCTTTACTGTTAAGGGCAGCTCCTGCAATCAAATGGCCTCCAGCTATGTTAAATTACAACATCCCAACTCAGCTACTTTGAGTCCACTCATGCTGATCGAGGATGATGGAATTTGTAGTCTTAACACCTCTTGAAAAACAGACATTTTTTTATTCATTCCCAGTCTCTATGGTCATTTATGGATGCAAAAGGCTTGACTGAGTTCATTCAACTTCATCAGGCATAGCACTATGATCTTCTGAAAGCAACTATGCTGTAGACCCCTTCTCTCTTTCACATGCAACTTTTCCTGAAAACAACATCCACAGAAAGATGACAAGAAGGAAACGTTGCAAAAAAGCCAGGAGGAGAATGTATCGGGGATACGGAAAACACAAAATTATTACTTTTTAAATACATGAGATAAAACAAAGTAGGCTGCAGTTCCAGGTTCTTACCATCTGATTTTTGCGTGAACTGGGAGATTCCATCTACCCAAGCTGAACACATTTTGCTCAAATATTCATGCCCATACATTTCTTCCAATGGCTTTCTTACTTTTTCACTCCATTTTGAAACATCTCGGATAGCTGTATGTAATGATAAAATATAGTTTTCCTCTCAGTACTATCTCTGACTTTGTATGCAATTTTTAAAAGCCTGTCTGAGCATTTTGAACCCACAAGGCATTTTAAAAATGATTAAGTTGCTGGAAAATAATTAGAGCCTCTTTAAATGCATACGGTGTACTTCATATTTTGATATGTTGGCTGCAGAACCAAGACGTTTATATGTTTTTACATTAGTCTTAAAAAGTAAATCCTGAGGAACTGAATCAACCAATTAATTATTTGAAGAGGTTAGATGCAAAGACTGAACACTTCCTTAGAGAATGTAATCAACATTTGGCCCATTTTCATATCCAGTGTCTTTAGCAGTTACTATAGCCTATTAAATATTCATTACCTTCAGATGCTTTAATCAACATTACAACTTTGTCTTACAAACCTGTTTCAGAAATCTTAGCTCCTATACTTTTTACCTAGAAAGTAGTATGTCCATTTAAGTGGCATTTGCTGAGGGTGTGGGGGCCTGGGGGTGGGTAGAAAAGCAGAAAATGTATAATTATCGTGCTAATTGGATTCTCTTCTTCTGCACCATTATCTGTTATTCAAAGATTATAGCTACTATAGCAACCACTACAACCAAAGTTGTAGCGGTTGTTTTTTTATGCCAATTGTTAGCCATGCCACTTAATTAAGTAAAAGTGTCTTGTTTGGTTTGCTGGGTTTTAAATCTAGTTAGGACTAGAATAGGTGTTAGTAACAACCTTTAAAGCGCTCCATGGCAATGGACCTAGGTATTTGCAAGACCGCCTCCTACCAAACACCTCCCTTCGACCAGTCCGCTCCCACAGAGAGGGCCTCCTTAGGGTGCCGTCGGCCAGTCAATGCCGGCTGGCGACCCCCAGGGGGAGAGCCTTCTCTGTGGCAGCTCCTGCCCTCTGGAATGACCTACCCCCCCGACCTACGTACAGTTGCGGACCTACGCCTTTTTCGCCGAGCCCTGAAGGCCCATCTATTCCGTGCGGCCGGCCTGGCGTAGTTTGATTATGTTTTAGTGGGGGTTTTGTATGAGCAGGCCTGTTATTTAATTTGATTTTAGAACAGAAACTTGCGTATATTTATCGTGGTTTTTATTATTGCCTGTTCACCGCCCTGAGTCCCGTAAGGGAGATAGGGCGGTATATAAATTCAATAAATAATAATAATAATAATAATAATAATAATAATAATAATAATAATAATAATAATAATAATAAGGCTCAAACAAAAATTTCTCATTCAGTTAAATGCAGTTGAGAGGCAAAACAAAAAAAAAAGCAAAATTATTTTTGATTGAAAATTTCTTGATTGAAAATATAGTTATTTTTTTAAAAAAGATACACTCATAATATGCATTTATACCAAATATTTATCTATGACATGCATAGATGACATGCATATATATGTATGTATGAGAATTCAGCAGTGCGCCACGTGCAAGTGCTTTGTTGTCAAAGCATCTCAAATTGATTTAGAGATGAGGGCATAAGTCATTATTCTGAGATCCTCCCTCTCCAGGTACAGTGATAACCCCATGCTACTGGATGACCTCTTCCAATGGATTCATGTACATGTTAAATAAAATAAGGGAGAGAGTTGAACCCCAGGAACTGCATATTGGAGAGCCTGAAAGTTGGTTCAAGGTCACAAATGACATCTCATCTCACAGCAAATGTCTATTTTATCAACATCTACACACTCAAATGCCTCCCAATATCACTGCAAGGATTACCCCATCCACTCTTCAGAATCTGTCCAGTTGGCTTCCAACTGCAAACAAATGTGAATTTTATCTGTCAAATGCCTTTCTAAAAGGTTGTAGCAGCCCTCTAGTGGTTCTTTCAGTTATTCTTCCTTGACACAGTCTTGGTCACCCTAAAAGCAATAGCTGGATAGCATATTCAATGGATAGGTGCATAGAAGTTATGATGTAATGGAGCTCCCTCTGAAAATCCATGGGATCCATCAAGTGATTAGGGTGAACCTCTATCACTAATCTTCCTCTATCACTAAACATCCTCCACTTCTGAGCTGCTTTGGAACATAAAGTAGATCCAATGTGTGGACTCTCCTGTATGTATAGCTTATAATGACCATGGACAAACCTGTGGTTATCATAGCAACCCAAAAATCTCAAGCCACCTCACTCCGTCAGGAATATTGAAATTATCAAGTACTGACAGACTGAGAGACTCAACCATCAATCCATCCTAATATATTTCTGTTGAAAATCATGATATCTAAACAAGATTTTGGCATTTTTGTGTGATTACCACCAATGGTATAAATTATGGTATTCTTATAACAATGTGAAATATTACAATTTGAATGCTACATGGATAAATATGCACTAATATCATACTGATGCATCTAGCACTTAAATATTCTTTCTTACAGTATTCATATGCTTTAATATAAATTCTCATTATTATTAATTTAAATGTATTATAGCTGCCCAACTCCAATGGAACCTGGGCAATGTACAAAATAGAAGATAATCCATAAAAACAGATAAGACTTAAAACCACACAGAAAGCCCAGACCAAAACAATTTAAAAATGACACAAATCAAACTAAACTAAAGAATACATAGTTCCTGAAAATACAATACTTTAAGCCCAGGCCTGGGACCAAAGCCAGATTTTAAGAGCTTTCTAGAACCCTAGGAGAGACAGTGTTGTCCTCATCTCTGGGAGAATGAATTTACCACTGTTTAAAACAAAAAAAAGGAAAAAGAAAAGAAAGTTAGTTTGGTGTCCTGGTTAGAGGCAATGGGCTATAAACCAGGAGTACCAGTCCTGCCTTAGACATAAAGCTAGCTGGATAACCCTAGGCCAGGGGTAGGCAACCTTGGTTCTTTTATGACTCATGGACTTCAACTCCCAGAATTCCTGAGTCATAAAAGAGTCAAGGTTGCCTACCCCTGTCCTAGGCCGAATGCTTTCTGTCAGTTCTAGGAAGGCAACAAGCCACTTACATTGCCAAGATAACATGCAGAGACCTGTCCAGACTGTTGCTAGAAGTCAAAACCAACTTGAAGGCGTGCCCGCATAACCAGGCCTACACAATCTCTCCCATAAACATCCTCTTCCTTAAATTTGGTCTGATATTATAACACTCTGTGAGAATAATCTTGAGAAACAAAAGGAGGAGCCAGAGCAATAGTCAGGCAAGAGATATCTCAACCCACAGAAGGAACAGGGAGGAGAAAGTTCCTCAGAAGGGACCCTCCCTAGTTCTCTGGGAAGCAAAAGGAAGGGAGGGGAGAAGTGCTTTCAGACTTGCAAGATTCTGTTACTATAACCTTTCAATAAAAGTAGTGTTACTACTCATGATTTGGACTACCTCAAAGGGCTGACAGATACATACCATTGTAAATTTTCACATCCTCTTCTGTAACAAACACATTGGCTCCCCACACCACCATTTTGTGGATCAAATCTGGATGTTTTCCAGCTGCAATGAGTGCGGTTATTCCACCATCACTCCATCCCAACAAAGAGAACTTCTGAAACTTCAGTGCCTTGTTTAGCATAAGGAAACAGATTGGAAACAGTTCTCATTTTCATGGATGAGGGGCTTGGCCTAAAGTCAGCTGATTCTTCGAAAACAGTACCTTCTCACTGATACAAAAGGAATTTAACAGGGCTAAATTGTGGCTATGAAGCCCAGTAAGTTTATTGAATAGTGTTACTAAATCATATATTAATATATTATTCATATTAAATAACAATAACCACCACAATTAGCAGTTTTGTTTAGGTTGCAAGGACCATTGGGCATTCAGTTAAGAAGCCTGAACATATTTACCTGCATCAAGTCAACAGCATCTTTTGCATCTCTTTCAAAATAGTCTAGAGGATAATCTCGAACTGGGGGGATTGATTTTCCATATCCTCGGGGGTCCCATGCAACAACGGTAAAAATCTCCTTGTTCATATTCTTCAGCTGTGGTTCAAAATCAGTCTGACCGCTGCCTAAATCAACACACACACACACAAACTGCAAGATCATCATAACCAAGAGAGAAACTTATTTTACACTTATTAACATATGTAAAAGAAAAACTGTCAGAAAAGCATGATTAAATGAATTATCTTTATGACTCTTGTTAAGAACAGAATAGGAATAGAAAACTTTTGTCACTTTAAATATACACTAATCAGCGTACATTAAAATGAAATTTCGTTGCATTCAGCTCTCAAAGGATAACCACCTCCAATATGCAGTACATAAACATGACAAAAGAAACTATTAAGAAAGGTAAGAGATCTTCCTCTTTTGCTGCACTAGGGTCAATTTCATTTGTGAGTTATTTATTCCCCAACCATTGCAAAACCAACCATTTTTTTCTTGGCTTTCTCCTCACAAAGTTACTACCACTGGCTGAGTGACTATAAATCATCACTCACTCTAAGTCAGTGTTTCTCAACCTTGACAATTTTAAGGCATGTGGACTTCAAGTCCCAGAATTCCACAGCCAGCATTGCTGGCTGTGGAATTCTGGGAGTTGAAGTCCACGTGCCTTAAAATTGTCAAGGTTGGGCAACACTGCTCTAAGTGGAAAACTAAGCAGTGTTGTATGACAGGAGGAAGAAAAATGCTTGTTTCTTGAGTTGGATTCCAGAAGAACAGTTGGAGGGATGTTTTCATTGTTTGCAATGTGCAATTTATGGATGTAGGGAGCGATACTAGATGTTGGAAGATTTCATATAGCGTGCTAAGTTCAAACTAATCAAACTCTTTGATGAAATGGTAAACAAAGTAAAAAGGAGTTGTGGTTACTGAAGTCACACAGAATTTTCTTATACAATGTCTTCCTAAGATCAAGTTCACTTTTAGTCAAAGCAAAAATGTGTCTATGTTGTTTGAACATGGTCTGGAACTGGAATTACTGGAATTTGGTTCTGTAAAGAGTTGCTGGAAGGCTTGTAGGTTGGCTGTTCCTGGTGTAGAGGATTTTTAGTTCTTTTGCTATTATTTCCCCAAAAGTTTCCTCCGCTGTTGGAATTCTGTGATCTCCATCTAGTTCAGTGGAGTTGCAATCAAACACAGTTTGAGAATCCTAGATTGAGAATGGCTGATCCTGGATCAGACATAACTAACGAGTATTTCTACTGTATAGACAAAGAACACCAAGGCTGAGATTTAAGCAATAACTCCAAGGTCAGTCAAGGCAGGTAGAATTTTTTCTTATCATTTTATTTACCCTCATTTAGGAACCAGTAATCAAAATTCCTTGGGGATCTCTTGCTATCATCCAGAAGTAAACCAATATTTTTTTATCACACCTTTGGTCTGTTTGGATGTTAGTCTTGTTAGATAAATAGGTGATTAGTCTTGTCTAAAAGCAATTATTTTAGAGTCATGCACTACCATAAAGATCTTCTGACAAATGTATTAATATACTTTTTGCGTATATTATGCTTTCCAAATAACTAACATAGTACAAGTGTTAGATCCACACCTAACATGCCAGGGAGTAGCAGGACAGCATGATTTCCATTTCCAGTCTGTTGGTAGTGTAGGTGGACGCCATTCACTTCTACTTTCGCTGAGGTTATGGCAGTGCTAGAAGAAATAGCTTCAATTGTTCAATATGTTCATATTCCACCTTTCTTCCCAATAGCAAATATAGTTCCCATTCCCTCTTCCCATTATTATCTGCACAATAAGGCACAATATACAGCAGGGGTAGTCAACCTTGGCTCTTTTATGACTCGTGGACTTCAATTCCCAGAATTCCTGAGCCAGCTTAGCTGGCTCAGGAATTCTGGGAGTTGAAGTCCACGAGTCATAAAAGAGCCAAGGTTGACTACCCCTGGTATACAGCATGGCTCTTGTCTCTCTTAATAACAATGTAGTAGGTTCAACTGAAATATAGTTTTGTGCCTCAGCTCTAGTCCACTTTCCAACTCAGATTTTTGCAACGAGGTATCTGTTAGGCACAAAGCCAGCTGGGTGACCTTGAGCCAGTCACTTTCTTTCAGCTCTAGGAAGAAGGTAATGGCAAGCCATTTCTGAAAAACCTTCCAAGGAAACTGAAAGGATTTGTCCAGGCAGTCTCCAAGAATCAGAAACAATTGAGTGGGAGAGGGGAAAAAATATGGCAAATGTGTTTTCCAAAATTACCAATCAGCAAATCCAACAGGAAGTTTTGAGTGGCAATTTCAACCATTTTGGGGGGGACATTAGGTTAGGAAAGGGTATTTTAATCACAATAACATACTGATTGATTGACTGATTATGTGCCATCAAATTGCAGTCAAGTTGGATCACAGAGACAGACCTTCTCTTGGGTGTTTTATCCCCAACCTGGCCCTTCAGGTCTTTTAACAGGGCATCCATTGCCACTGTAATTGAATTGTTGTAGCCATCTTACTGCTTGTCAGACTAGAATCTAGAAGACCTCCAAGATTCCTACCAGCTTTATTCTGATTGAATTGAATAGTTCAACCTAGACTGTACCCACTGAAATGAATGGAACACGTGCAAATTAAAACTCATCAATTGCAACGATTATGACTGAGGTCTGAGTCCAGTCCTCCAGAAGGGCATAAAATGAAACTTCATTTATTTAATTTCTAGTAATAATGCTCAATGTTGATCTTCCCTCCTTTTCCTACAACATCCTAACCCTAAATGGGTAAAACCTGCTGAAAGAACTTCAGAATATAATTTTATTTTGTGAGATTTACAAAGATCACTAATGTGACACAAAAGATAAAGAATACTCCCCACTTATCTGGGATTACGCATGCGCCCTACACACACACACACATACACACACACACACACACAGTGTACACACACACACATACTTGCCAAGCAGTTCATATTTTTAATACAAAAGTTCTGAGAGAAAAATCCTTCATCCATATTTGATTTGGTAACACCTCCTGCACGATCAACTAACTTGGAGCTATGACTCCCACATGCCCTTAACAATAGTATTGCTGTTTTAAATACTTTTATGTATGGAAATTATGCAATACTGAAACCGTCTACTGTAGAATTCTCCTTTCTGATGTCCCCTCAGCATAATTTGTTGTTGAGAAGGGTGAGACCCATAGGAAGGGATCCAGGTTGGGAGGGGTGATGCCATATCTAACAGAGGAGGGGGTAGGCTCATTTCACAAAAGGTTCCTTAGTCCAGGGAAGAGGTGAAAAACAAGGGAAAGAAAGTAATTGTGCCTTCATCACACCAGAATTGCTTTGGCAAGATTTTATGGTGGTTATTCTGCCCTACAGGCAAGAAAGTTCATTCTAGAGCTCTAAGTGATAATTATGTCTGAGTTTGCAGCTCAAAATCCTCAGGACCAAAGATAACTCTGTCTGTTCTATGGGAGTAGAGAACTATTCTCCGGTTCAATTCATTGTTGACTGAATTTTAGAAGGAAGGGCAGGATTGCCTCCCTCAAACAAAAGGAATCAGATTTCCAGGTGCAGTGAAGAGTTTAAATTACATGTCCACAAATTCCAGCTGAGCACAACACACTTAAGCAGGTACAAAAAAGATCTAACAGCAGTTTTTGTGCAATAGATTGAACAGATTGGGGGTGGGTGGTTGTAGTGGGTTGTGTGAAGTGAAATCATTTTCTTAGCTTGATATATTCAATGGATTAATACTGTACACAGGTTAAGAATGTTGTGGGAACTGGTTGTGCCTTACAGAGGTCTCCTTGCACTGGAGGAAGACATGGAAGAGGTAACTTTTGCGATTTACCATTTCCCTTACAATTCCTATACACAAGTATTGTGTGTATAGCAGATCTGACCTGCAATATGAGACAAACTAATTTGTGTATGGCTACACCATGGATTAAAAGTAACCTACCTTTTCATTAGAATTTTGCAAATACAATACTATATAAGACATTTCTGAAAAAGCAGCCTGGTTTAATCTGGTGTGGGAAGTACCAAAAATGTGGTAAATGGAGGCCTATTTTAATTACGAACAATTTTGCAGCCTACTTGCAAAGAAATCTTTATAGAACTTGCTTCCGGGTAATTATGCACAGGTGCATAGAGACGAGAGTATTTCTTTAAAAACCATTTCAGCTTTATTAGTGTAATAAATAGGTTAAAGGTAGGCTGGAAGGCTGTCATTTCTCCGAATTGTATTAACTCGTTCAGAATTTTATTCTCCCAGACAACTGTCTGCATAAAATATAGGGAGGAGGGATATATGCAATTGTTCTTCTCCCCCCCACTCTTTCACCAAACATTCCTGCAGCCTTTGCGGGTGCTTTTCCCACTTACCAATATACCATTTCGCTCTTAAAAGGCGAGTTTTGCTCTCCTTTAAAGGAAAGGGTCTTTAGAGTATTAAGGTTTTTACATCATTTGATCTAAAATCTGATTCGTATTATCAGCCTTCGTTCCTGTCAAGAAAAGCCTGCGCGGGATCTAAACAGTTAAGTCCTAAACAACATACACAGTACACAAAATTAACACGCACACGCCCCATAGCGAGACTGCCAAGTGCTCCAGTTGGACACAAACCCTCTTTAGCCTTGCAATTAAGCCCTGCTTTGCCCTCGGTTCCTTAACTTCGCCTCTGCAACCCGCTCTACCGACGCTTCCCCCAGGCATTAGCCATTTACTTTTCTCTGCCATCCATCACGCGTGCGCACTGCGCTTTCGGCGCCCTCGCTTGCGCTCTAAGGCTTGCGGATGTTTCCTCGTGTCTCTGTCCCGTCCCGCGGGCATTTGTACCTATAAGCAGCCGTCGATCTCGGGACCGCTGCCAGTGTTGCAGAGCGGGAGAGTTGTGAGAAGAGATGCTGCAGCCGCCAAAGCGCTGCGCCTGCAGGTCGAGCCATTTTCCTTCCTTCCCCACGGTCTGTCTTGCGGCTCCTCCTTCGTCCCTCTCTATTGGCTCCCAGGGAAAGTAGCTGCCATGGGGTCGGAATCGCCAAAGCAGGGCAGCCTACCCACTAATTTCCGCAATCGTTCGCTTCTTTTTGCAGAAAAAGGGCCGCATTCTTCTTTTCACCGCCCTGAGTCCCGTAAGGGAGATAGGGCGGTATATAAATTTTAATAATAATAATAATAATAATAATAATAATAATAATAATAATAATAATAATAATAATAATAATAATAATAATAATAATAATATTTTCGGTCCTTTTTCTGAAGCTCCAGGGCATTCAGCGAGGCAAAGAAAATAGCTTGCACCAAGTTTGTTGGTTTCTTAAAGAAATTTATCAGGTCGCCCAACTCACACAGGAGAGAACTCTGGGCAGCTTTACAACTTAAAAATCCGCAAAATACCTGTAGTCCTCAACTAACGACCACAATTGAGCCCAAACGTTTAAGTGAAACATTTGCTAAGTGAGTTTTGCCCCGTTTTAGGACTTTTCTTGCCACAGTTAAGTGAATCACTGCAGTTAAATTAGTAACCTGGTTGTTAAATTAACCTGGCTTCCCCACTGACTTTGCTTGTGAGATGGTTGCAAAAGGTGATCACATGACCATGGGACGCAGCAAGTCAAATAGGAACCTGTTGCCAAGCTTCTGAATTTTGATCACATGATCACGGAGATGCTGCAACGGTCGTAACTATGAATAAGTCATAAGTCACATTTTTCAGTGCCATTGTAACTTTGAAGTCACTAAATGAAGTTGAAGAATATCTGTATAACCATCTTCCCCCCCCTCCACAGCAGCAACAACACAATCTGACCATTTTGATCTGCTCCATCTTTGTTGGGGTCCCCAGACCTGCTGACAGAAACATATCTTCAGGGCCTTGCAGAAAAGCAACAAGGTGAGGGCCAATCGTACCTCTAGGGCAGGGGTAGGCAACCTTGGCTCTTTTATGACTTGTGGACTTCAACTCCCAGAATTCCTGAGCCAGCTGGGAGTTGAAGTCCACGAGTCATAGAAGAGCCAAGGTTGCCTACCCCTGCTCTAGGGGAATTGTGTTCCAGAGAAGGGACTGACACTGAAGTCTTTTTATATGGAGGGGTTTTTTTTGGCATTGATTTAATAGGAGCCCTATTAATCAGCAATGGAACTTCTATTACACATTATATGTCACTCTAAGGGTCTCCAAAACTGTTCTGTATCTCTTCATACTGGACCAATTGTAGCTTCCGAACGCTCTTAAAGTGCAGCTCCATGTGGAGCACATTGCAGTAATCCAGATGAGAGATGATCAGAGTATGAATGACTGAGCTTAACGTATCTAGTAGCAGGCACAGGATATGTGCTAATAATCCCCATGCTCATACCATATAGGCATTTGCAGCTTGACATGATGATGCAAAAATAATATATATAACTCAAGAGAATTGTACTGCAAACTTCACCCTTTTGTCCTTGGACCCCAACATTGGATGCAAGTATAGGTAGGCCTGGTTTAGTGACCACAATTGGGACTAGCAACTTGGCCATGAAGTAAAATTAGGACTCTGCTTGTGCTTTCCTTTATTTACAGACTTGCAAAGGTTGCAAAAGTCAGGATTTGGTAATTCTATTATTCATCACTGTCATAACATAGTGAACAGTCACTAAATAAAGGCAGGCGCTACTACTGCTTTTGCATGGCATCTTTTCATTTTCCGCTCTAGGGGAGGTCTGTGCCATTGCTCTTGGGGGAATGAGCAAGAAGTAACACAAGTCCTACAAAATAGCGTCAACCAGAATTACCATGTGAATATATAGAACACCAATCTTTACCAGTGCAGTAGCATATCCTCTGAGATATGCCAGTTTGATGTAAGTCATCATATTAGAAATTGGAAGTTCTAGTCCTGTCAGCTGAGTGACCTTGAGCCAGCCACCCCCTCCCCTCCTAGGAAGAAGGCAATGGTAAGCCAATTCTTGGAAATCTTGCACAACTTGTCTATGGAGTTACCAAAAGTCAAGAGTCACAGATATATATACACACACACGGCAAGACTTGCTCCTTCTTTGGGTATTAGGCGACAGGACCAATCCTGTTGCAGTTTCTTCCAATACATCTTTCTTTTGTATCAAGCCTTCCAAATTTTATTTGCCATTTCAAAAGAAAAGGAGAAAAAAAAACCCCTCCTTGCTTCAAAGGCAAAAGCATGTTTTTCAAAACATGCTGTTACCCTTGTGTTTGATATTTGGGGAGATAGCTAACTAATGGTGTAGTTTTCCCTCCTGATCGATTATTAACATCCATTCCCTTCCCTCACATTTTGCCTTTATATATAAGAAAATCACATGTGATCCTATACTGTTCGTCCTTGCCAAGATGGTTGCTGAAGCTGTTGCTCATCAGCCCTTGCCAAACTGTTATATTCTTAGTCTATTAATAAAGATTCAGAGTTTACTGATCGTAGTAGCAGGTTTTACAAAACCGAAGGAGAATGATAATCCAGCTTTGTTTTTGAGAAGAGATTCTGGTTTATAATAAGACTAGGAGAATAGCCTTATGCCCATTTTCTGTACTTTAAAAAAATTAAAATTGTACAAATTCATTCAAAATTTGACATAAAACAGGCAGAGGTCTGCATGAAATGGAAAAAAAATATTGCGTTTTATACTTAGGAAAAAACCCGTAGCACTTCAGACGTTCTGATGAGCCATTTCAGGCCAGTTGTGATTTGGCAGAAGCCAGACCGAGAATATACTTTGATTGTCTTGCATTGAAATGAAACAAATCCAGACAGGTAAATGGAGCTAAATTAGTGGGTATTGCTTCCTATTTCCATCATCAATTTCCAAACTGGAACATCTCAGGGGCCAGCCCCACCAGTGCTTTCCTTTCCCTCCCCTCATCCATCACCGTTGCCACTAAAGGCCCAGTGTGGCGTATACCAAAATCCTGCCAAGGTGCTCTGCAGTCTTCCTTTCCTGCTGCTGCTCTCCTGCCTCACCCTCATCACCCTCTTCCCTGTGGAAGAATATTATGGATCGTGTCCAGAACAAAACAGCCATTTTGTTCCATGCACGGAGCAAAACACCCACATTTTGCATGTTTTGTTCTGTCCCTGCTGGAAAGCGTTCTGTTAAGTTTGTAGCTTTTTTTTTTTTTTAAGGGATTGCTATGAAAACGTCCCTTGGGATTGGCCATCATTTGCTCTTTATCTCCTATTCCTTATTCTGCTTGCATAGAATAGCGGTCTGCTTGCAGCATTTGTCCTGACCAATGACCTGTAATATAAAAATATCTTCTGGAAAAAAATGTCCAACCCGGCCAAAGTCCTCCTGCTCTTTGTTTGACTTCTTATCTATTGTTTCTTTCAGAATCCTGGCTTATTTTGATAAAACTATTGACGAGATCTATCCGCTTGCAAGCAAAGAGGGCTCTGGCCAGCTTCCCTACAGTTGCCCCTTTGCTGCCTTCCTTCATCAGCCACCTCTGGAACATCTGGTAAACTTTCTCTTTGAGTCCATCCCGTTCATAATCGTGGTCAATTTCATCCAGCTCAGGGTCATTGAAGCCCAGTTTACGAGCGCAGTGTTTCCATTGCCTGGACAAGTTGTCTCTCACAAGGTTTAGGTGGATATCCGAAACTATGGCAGTGCTGTCTGGTGGTAGAAAGAAGAAAAATAACATAAAAAATAAGGGTCATAAAAATGAGTGGTGATTCGGTTAATAACTGCCTTGCTTAGCAACAGAAATTCTGGTCCCAATTGTAAGTTGAGGACTACCAGTATTGAAACCCCTTGAATGGGTAAAACAATGAATGTTGCTATCTTCAGTTTCTTCATAGAATGAAATACATTCCCCTATTCAGGGGTAGGCAACCTTGGCTCTTTTATGACTTGTGGACTTCAACTCCCAGAATTCCTGAGCCAGCATGGCTGGCTCAGGAATTCTGGGAGTTGAAGTCCACGAGTCATAAAAGAGCCAAGGTTGCCTACCCCTGCCCTAGTTGGTGAGAAAGTTTCTCTATATGTATAGTAACAGAACTGCCTCCTCTATTTCCACTTAAGAAAGAATCCGGAGTCAGGCAAGAATTCCCATCATGTGGAGGTACCCTCTAAAACACAGATCAGAAATTGTGTGAAGATGCTTTGTGTGATGTTTTAAATAAGATGGTTGGCAAGATGTGTGGTAGGCAAACATGTTGTGTGACTAGCTGTTTGTGACCAAGGATCCCTTCACATGCTTTGAAGCTGGAAAGGGTGTTTCTGAACTTTTTCTAGTGATAGAATAGCTTTGGTATGGTTTACTAAATTTTGGGCCACCAGATCAGGGCTGCAAAATTCCGGACTGTAGATTGGAAATGGAAGGCTGAATCTTCTGTACCTCTTTACTGTCATTTTGTGGTTGTTAAGAGGCCAGAGAAGGCAGCTTTACTAAATTTGAATCATGGCCTGCCTGCAAAGACTACAGGCCTATATAGGACGGTCCCTTTAACCATTCCATTTAACAAGGCCAAACAAGGGTAGCATAGAGCTCCATGACTATCAGTTTTTTGAAGCTAAGTCCCTCCATTAAGATTTACTTCCAACACTTCACTATATTAAAGCTATATACAGCTTGCCTTGGAGTAAACTCATTTAAGTAAATGGAAATACTTTTGAATGGATCCTTACAGAACATTAATGTAACTTTCTCCAATTTATGTATTTATAAAACACTGGACATGAAATCTCTGTAAATATGATCAGTAAAACTGAAATATCAAGGAAGAGCAATTCTATAATAATAATAATAATAATAATAATAATAATAATAATAATAATAATAATAATAATAATAATAATAATAATAAAGTTGGAAGGGACCTTGGAGGTCATCTAGTCCAACCCCCTGCTCAGGCAGGAAACCCTATACCATTTCGGACAAATGGCTGTCCAGTTTCTTCTTAAAAACTTCCAGTGTTGGAGCATTCACCGCT